TCCCCATTGACAACAATCAGTAGCACCTAGTGTTGCAGATACATGAAAACGTGAGCAATTACAGTCTGATAAATAGGAATACTTCATTGCACACAGAAGAATTGCGTGATTATAAGATCAGAAATGTACAGTCCAGATGCCAACTTGAAAAAAGCTTAAGAAAATTGTATCATGAGAGCATCCAAAAGAAAAAGGCAAGTGACATAAAATCATGTCCGTGTGTCGAAACAATCATGCGAACACACTTGAAATTCATTTCGTCATTATATAATGAAAACAGGTTCTTTCTTAACAAACACATCAAAACAGTAACACCCTTTTTGTAAACGTTCATCCGTATGAAGCAGAGTGCACCATTTAAAAAAAATTCATGTTCTTCATTTTTTATACTCCTTGCTCTTTTTCAGTAGAGGTGGGAAAATTCATATTTTCAAATCACACTGAATCATGGTGCTAACCTTTGACCTTGATCATGATGTAGCATTTGATTTTTCGTAAAATATCTCACAAATCAACAGGCAGTTTTCAGCCAAATAGTTTTCTCCTTAACCTTGACAACGATGCTGTTTCAGCTTATATTCTAACTCTAAAACAACACAAACAGTGAATAAATAACTAAACACCTACTTTAACTTGACAACACTGAGCAGCACCTACAGATGCAACAGACTAGATTTGGCTTGTAGTATTCCTTAAACAACCGAAGTAACAATAATATAATCTATTCTCTCTGGGCTGATAATACTTCATGTTAGAATGTATACACGTCTCCTAATGACTATACAAGATATACTACTAAGGGCAGACCAATCTAATTACTTCTTTTAACAACCCTCCTGTCATATTTTAGCCGTTTTTTAACAGAAAATAAATTTAACAGTTAAATAATTGTGACGAGACTGAGACTAGTCCAATTTACATAACATTGGCATTTTGACTATGAATAAAAACAATAGTCGTTACACTCTCGGTAACATCGCTGCCACCAGTGTGGGCGCAGCCATTACAAGAATCTTGAAATTTGCCCTCTAACCCCAAATGTAGTAACGTTTATACTTTTGTTTAATTCTTTGGGAATGCCATCATATTTCATTTTGAAAAGGTCTACGAATGACCATGTTTTTCAGATGAATTTACTTTGTTGTTTTAATAATCAGATTGGTTCAAGATTACAGACTAAGGGAAAATCAACCAACTTCTCCCTTACATTCTTACTATATAAATTACATGATAGTTTTAATGAAATAGAAATTCAAATTGACCAACAAAGAAAGTAATTTAGCAGGGGTAAGTGTATTGGGCGTCACGACAGTCGTCACTTTATTGTAAACATAACGGTCATTCGGTAGCGAGATCAACTCCAAGCATGGTTGTGGTCATCTATCACTGTTGGGAGTTTTGACTGGTGGCAGCGATAGTATTAGAAAGCTCCGCGGACGGGATATCGCTGTGAGGAGCTTGATTCAGTACAGACAATTGTAACTTTGTTTTTCTGTGATTGAAGGTCTTGTGAAACTATTTTTGTGCTCTCTCTTTCATTAACCCTAAATGAAAAGATAAACAAAATAAAAAACCCATTTACTTAAAAAGGTGAGTGAGCTCGGTTGATAGCCATCTTGAACAGCATTTCAGTGATATCACGATGTTACATGTTCATGTGGGGGAGAGCCCAAAGTGATGTAGGTCTGACTCATTTAGCACTTTGATGAAACCCTAAAGCACGGGTGTGGTCGGTGCCAACACACCAAACAAAAGGGGCGGTCGGGTAGCCTAGCGGTCAAAGTGTTCGCTCATCACGCCGAAGACCCGGGTTCGATTCCCAACATGGGTACAATGTGTGAAGCCTATTTGTGGTGTCCCCTGCTGTGATATTGCTGGAATATTGCTAAAAGCAGCGTAAAACCTCACTCACTCACAATCATAAGTGTGTGTCACATCTAAGGGATGCAACTCCGCACAACGAATTGCAATGCCTCATAAACTGGGCCCCTCGTACTTAAGAAAACTGATAATAAACCCAATCAGTCACTGATTTATTTATTTTTTCTCTTTGAAAGTATTTCTTAGTGTTTTTATTCCCCGGCCTTTGGACTATCTCCAAGGTCTAGTGGATAGAACATCAGCCCTGAGAGCAAAAGGTTTGTATGATCCCCGTCTTACCAAAGGCGTCAATAGATGGTACTTCTTGTTACCCTGTCTGGCATTCAGCAAGAATGGAATAAAACCAGGAGTGTTCAGCTCGCAGTCAGTATACTGTGTCTGAGCAGAGTGTCCATGTTAAAGTGTGACATGGTACCTTAGTGGGCTAGTATGATAAAACCGGCAATAGTCCGGACTAGTACAAGCAGCCATACACACACATGCACACTTGATGCACGTTGCTATAAAAAATCAATAATCTTCAACACAACATTTAACGCATTAGTGCAATAAAGCCTATTTCACCTCACCCCTACCTTTGGGTACTTTGGGGACCCCAAACTGTAAAACAAGTAATTAAATTGGTCAAGCCTCAACTAGGATCAATGTACCTTCAATCTCTTCAACAGTTAGGCTGAAAAAAAATAACAGTCTTGGTTCTCAGGCACCGCCCGCATCATCATAACATCTGCAGCTCGTTTTGTTTTTATTTCCATCCCATAAAACCCTTATACTTAAAAACGTGATCCAATATAGCACGCACTTACTTCCCTTTGCATGCACACTGCTTTAAAGCGCATCTCATGTTATGGTCATCGCGGCAGTAGGAGTTTGTGTGCTTGTTTATGCAGGGAGGCCCTTTCCCAGGTTGATTGTACACAACTGTTTATTTAGTTACATACAAGTTTGAACAAGCAAAACAAAAACAAACAAAAACCGCTGCCCACGGCACTATATTTATAAGTCTTTGCCTGAGAACCAATTCTTTTATTGTCTTAAGCCTTATGTTATCAAGACTGTCAACTGATATCACCTTTGAGTAGAAATACAATCATCTCGTTAGTTATAACGCAAAACTATCACAGGATTCTAACAGACACTGACTGGGATTCCACACAGGAACCAAACAATCAAGATCTCGCTTCTAACTCTCCTAATCATGATACTACCTGATGATGAATAACAGTGTCAGGCCGACCTTAGAAACCAAAACCAAAGCAGCGAATCTGAACCTACAACGGAATGACACACATTCCATACGACCATAAGTCCAGTTAGACTTGATTAATTAACACATGCCTGCTAAATGGTTGTTTGTAATTTGGGATTGTTACATATCATTGAAGATGGACTAAACTGACTTAGGGAACATATTTATTTTTATATATATATCTATATATTGTGATGTTAAGGAACACTCGATTTTTTTTCACATGACTATAGTTAATCTTTCATTGTAACGTTTGCATTGTAACGTTAAGGAACACCCAAATTTTTCATATGACTATAGTTAATCTTTCATTGTAACGTTTGCATTGTAACGTTAAGGAACACCCGAATTTTTCATATGACTATAGTTAATCTTTCATTGTAACGTTTGCATTGTAACGTTAAGGAACACCTGATTATTTCACCTGACTATAGTTAATCTTTAACTGTAATGTTTTCATTGTAACCTTAAGGAACACCAGAGGAACACTCAATCTTTTGATGTGATTGTAGTTAATCTGTCATGTCATGTCATGTCATGTCATGTCATGACAGATTAACTACATTCCCATCAAAAGATCGAATGTTCTTCAACTTCTTTTGTAGTATATGTATATTTTGGTTATTTTTTGGTGCTGACAAACCTAGAAACCTAATCAGGCGATTCTGGGATTCAAACCCACAATCATAGGTTTCTGAAACATTTCTGATTCAATTCTGCACAGCGAAATGAGGCGCCTAAAACGTTTTCAGCCTGAACCTTGGCATGGCTGACAGGAGGCCCAAAACAGGTCGTATAAGGATCTGTACCCAATTATCGCCTTTACGGAAAAAAAGAAGTTATCCATAAATTGAGTCCACTTTGCCCAAAACAGGTGTTATTATTGTGACCTTAGCTAGAAATTCAATTTCTTGACAAAATAAAAACTAACCCGTAAATTATATATTCCTTCCACACATTGAGATCCCTGACCTCGCTGCTGTTTGTTTCCAACTCTGAGGCAGGCCTGTTGATGCTGTATTCTGATGTTTGGCATGTTGCAAAGCGATCATGTGACCTGAGTAGAGTGGAACTGACCGTATCGTTGATAAACTCAGATATGGAAACTTTGATATACTCAGCTGATGACAGTGACAAGTTGTGAGAATAATGTCTGCATATCAATAATGTCTTTCATAATATCACCCCATAATATCGCATCCCACCAACCATTGACTCTTCTCTGGTCTCCAGTTTAAGACACAAAAATAAGCCAGATCGAGCAGTCATCAAATGCTATTTTAGCATAGCAAATCAATTGTTACACTTTCATATGAAATCAAAACAAACAAATTGAAAAAAATGTACTCATTCGTATTTCATATGATTCTGTGTTGTGTGAGTGAGTGGATTCAACGCCATTTTGACAGTATTTCTGTAATATTACAGAACGTCAGCTTCATGTTGAAAAAATCCCAAAGTGACCCACTTTGTAGATATTTACTATTTGCTTAAAACCATAAGCACAGGTCTGGGTCTGACAAACAAGGATCTTAACAGGAGCAAAACAGGATCTCCAGGATCCTGACTTGGCAAAGGGACACAACTCTGCATGGCAAACTGTAGTACCTGAGACCACTGGGAAAAAGTGTGGCTCCTTGAGAAAGTGAGTGAGTGAGTTGGGTTTTACGCCGCTTTTAACAGTATTCCAGTTATATCGCGGCGTGTCAGCTTAATGTGGGAGGAAAGCCCGAAGTGATGCAGGTCTCAGACGTTTACCAGTTCGGTGAAACCCACGAGCACGGGTATGGTGCTGACAAACCCAGAAACATGATCAGGCGAACCGGGATTCGAACCCACAATCATAGGTTTCTGGCGTGCCGAAGGGACGCAACTCTGCACAGCGAATCGCGGCGCTTTAGACGACTGGGCCACCTGTGCCCCCCTTTTTGAGAATGAGTTGTTCGTCTGTTTCCACATACTCTCTTTCAACGGGGAGCTTGCAAGTGGAATAATATCCTCGGAACTGCATTAATTAATATCATTCGCTTGACTGATTCAATGCCGTGTGTTAAGTTAACATTGCTACAGTTACCAGATCCCCCACAATTAATCTGTTCTTCATCGATCTTATTTAAGAACATATTGGAATTTCATTATTCCCTGAAATAAAAAAATGGAAACTGAAAGAAATTGGCACAAAATTCACATACAGGATGCTTGTAACAACAACCGCAACCCTGATGGCACAGAAAGAGAAGCTGGACTGCACCTCGGCCAACGTCCAACCCCAGTGTGATTATGACGTCATCCAATACTGAATGTAATTGCACAATGAGCTGCTTCCCTCACTTGGCGAATGTTTCGTAAAAAGCTATTTTCACTCTTTCGATATGATGACACAGCTTTATGGCGGGCCCCAGCTTCAGGTCGAGGTGTTCCTGTACTGTGGGCAGGGTCAGAAGAAGGAGGGCCTGCCCGTCGATCTCCTGGGGGTAAAAGGGGGAAGTAGAGATTATTGAGTGAATTTTGGTTTAACGCTGCTTTGAACAGTATTTCAGTTATATCATGGATTGTCTGCTTGATGTGAAAGGAAAACCAAAAGTGATGCTTGTCTTAAGACATTTACACTTTGGGCGAAACCCATGAGCATGGGTATGGTGCAAACCCGGAAACATAACTCATGAGTTTTGGTTCCTGGCATGCCTAAGGGGAGCAACTCTGTAGAGCGAATTGGGGCACCTTATATGACTGGGCCACCCATACCCATACCCATACCCCTTCCACAATGGGAGTTACAACTTATGATTGTAAAAATATGTTTCTATATTTATCACATATCTTACCAAGTCTCCAAGTAATTCTTGGATCAAACAAGTGAATGGCTGTCTTATGCCTCATTCAGCAATATTTCAGCAATATTCCAGCCATATAATAGCAGTATGTAAACAAGAGGCCCATAGGGCCTGAATAGGTCACCTGGATATTTACGCAATCATGACAAAATATACATTTGCATTGTACATGTATATAATACTGCAAATATTTCGTAATTTTGACTCCGTCAGCATCTAAAAGGGGTGGATGGCAAATCTGACAGCATGAACGTGTACTCTAGATACAAATGTAGCATAAAGATCTGAACCGTTTCCATGTAATGATCTAAGTTTCCAGAGGCAAGGCTGGACCCCAGGGTGAATCCTATTGGCATAGTTGTATTATTCTCTTCATAACAAACAAATGTATACAATGTATCTGTTTATTATAGGGTGGGGATAAAATCAGTTTGCATGTTATGGTCAAGGTTCTTACTCCTTTGGGAGTGCCAGACAGATGAACAGAAGGACCAGTCGTGGTATCATATGTGTATTTGTCTTGTTATACTAAGCAATTACATGTATACATGTATATGGTAATAGGGTGGGGATCTCAACTATTTCCAAGTTTTCACCTGAGAACTTAATACTTATGGGTATGGCAAGACCACAAGCTCAATACTAATATCATGATTGTGTTTGTCTCTTTATGCCCAGCAATTGTATATATGGTTATGGGGTGGGGATCTCAACTGTTTGAAAGTTATGACCCAGGGGTTAAGTCTACAGGGGTGGAGCAATCCCCTCCCCCCCGGGCCACACTGGCAGCATATGTGCATTCCTCTCATTATACTAAGCAATTGTATATATGGTTAATATGGTGGGGATCTTAACTGTGTCCAAGTTAATAAACTCTTTTTAACCCTGCCTCTCAGGCCCTGGGGGGTGGGGGGTGGGGGGTGGGGGGGGTTGGTAAGCCTTTCTATTTGTACAATTTTGAATCCTCACCACCAGAGAATGCTTCCAACCAAATATGGTTGATATCTATCTTTTAGTTCCAGAAAAGAAGTCGTTTAATTCAATATAGCCAAATTACCCCCATTTGGCCCTGCCCCTCAGCCCCTGGGGTGGGGTCAGCCCTCCATTTGTACAATTTTCAATCCCATTTTAAAATTTCACTAATTTCCAATTAGTGGTCCAGAAAAGAAGTCGTTTGAACAAAATTGTTGATGTACGGATGGACGGACGACGGATGCCATGGTATGGCATAAGCTAACCCTGGTCCTTTGGACCCGGTAGCTGCTAGTAGACAAACCAGTGTTTGAAATTGAGTAACATTCAACAACAAGCATAGATTTCTTGGGACTTATTCTTGGGTCAATCAGTTCTTTAACAAAGGTCAAGGTCAACTCATCCACTGGAATAAGTGAGTGAGTGAGTGAGAAACACACTTGCTACAAAGCCAGCCAGTTCCTGCCAACTCACCTGTTCCTTGAAGAGCCTGGCTAGGTGAGCACAGTCTGTTGTTTTGATGAATTCTACCACATCACTCAGTGACCACTTCAGTGGGTTCTTCTCCAGTCGGAGTATTTCCTCTTTCTTCACAGATGAATCTTGATGTTTCTAAAGTGAACATAACGATACATAATAGCTACTGATTCAAGGACTGTTTCTGAGACTGAATTAATTCAACCAACAACTGGTGCACAGTGTAATTAAACAATTTTTCTTTGTTTTAATGCTACACTCGGCATTATTCCAGCTATGTGACAGTGGCATAACAATACTGAAATCTGGATGGGTCAAACCAGTGATTGATATTGTGAGTGAGTGAGTGAGTGAGTATGGTTTTACGCCGCTTTTAGCAATATTCCAGCAATATCACGGCGGGGGACACCAGAAATGGGCTCCACACATTGTACCCATGTCGGGAATCGAACCCGTGTCTTCGGCGTGACGAGCGAACGCTTTAACCACTAGGCTACCCGACCGCCCCGATTGATATTGTGAACAACGATCCACACCTCCAAGATATGATGACACGCAATCAACCATATCTGACCTTCTGATCCATTGAATTGCCTCTTACAACTAGCACAGGTTCCTGGGGACCTATTCTAACCAGGGCCCACTTGCACAAAGCGATTTTAGCGCTAAGACTATTGTAAGCCAATGTTAAAGTATGGGAGTTACGATCATCTTAGCGCTAAGGTCGCTTTGTGAAAGTGGGCCCAGGAATGATGGGAAACTATTGCATTGGAGAGCCAAAAATAACATTAGCATTTGACATGAATAACTCATTTTGGAAATTATGTCTCAACCTACATCATTTCAAAATTAAAATTACCTCAAAACAGTGTAGTGATACGTATAATATCTTAGAAAAAGTATAACACTACATATTAGATCCAGCTTCATGTGTCATTCCTCCAACACTTGAGATGCGAAATTACATCAGAAACAAGCATGAACCTCTCATATCCCCCACCAATACCGCCATTTTCAGCCATAGTCAAATGAGTTGCCATGGAAACTCGAAAATAATTTTTGAAAAATCCCCAACTATCAAAAGGCACCAGTTCACCACTAGGCCTATCTATGTGCCAAGTTTGGTTAAGATATCTCTCATGTTTTTTTAGTTCTGCTCCGGAAACGATACGTGACGGACAGCACCCATTCCTATATCCCCCTTCCACTTCGTGACGGGGGATAATAAATAATACAAAATCTACTAACCCGGGACATCCCGCTGCCATGTTTAGAGTTCATCCCAAGTCCAAGTGCACTTTGAGACTTGGTCACGATTGAGCTGTTGCCATGGTGATGTGAGGAACCATGATGGGATGTGAGCATGATTTTTTTGTGAGTCCTTCGTTCGAAGCTATATTTGGGCAGTTTGGCTCCCCGAGTACGAATGTCTGAGGGCGGGGGCACGTGGTGCGTGTACTTCCGTTTAATCCGCAAGCCCTGGCTTTGTTTCAAATCTAAGTCTTTATCTTTGGAACCATTGGTGCTGGTGCTATCTACAGTCCTGGTGTCACTGTTAACACTGTCTTTGTCATCATCGATGCAGTCATCGTTCTCATCCTGCGACGTCCGCACTTTCTTGGTAACAAAGTTGATCTTTTTTCTTTTCCGTCTTTTGCCTGGTTTCTTGGGGCCGTCCTCCAAGTTTGTGTGACCGCCAGGGGGACGTCCTACCTTCTTCTTCTTCTTGCCATAGTAATATGCTGCATAAACACACAACATACATTTGAAATACAGATGGACTTGCTGAAGATCTCACAATTTGTCTTGTTTAATACTAGGGTTGTCACAATAAATCGAAATATCGATATATTGCTATTGGTAAGCACTTAAAGTCAATAAATCGATTGTTAAATCAGTTTCCGATCAATAGCATCGATTTCAGTTAGGAATATCGATAGTTCCGATTGTATTTACCATATCAATAAAATACATGCAATGCTGTTCAAATTTGTTTTTCTTTTGATCATGAATGGTAGTAATTTACACATGGTAATGTGGAAGTTTCTTTTTCTTAAATTATTAGGGTAAAGAAAAAACAAATCAGTCATATCTCAAACTTTACTTTTTATTTGTTGTTATAACATTCAAAGGAAACTTCAGTTCCAAGGTTTAATTCACCTCCATCTAATTCAAATCCATCTAAAATGATACACTGAAAACTATCGATATTTATTGCAATAGTTGCTTGCAATATCAATAGTTATCGCAACAGTGATTTCCAGACCAATAATCATCCCTATTTAATACCTCATTCAGCTATATTCCAGCTGTATGAGAGCAGTCTCTAAAAATCAAGTCTGGATCAGACAATCCAGTGATTGATAAATGAGCAACTGTCTACACCATCAGGGTACGATGACACTCATTGATCCAAGTCATCGCGCCTGACCACACAGTCCTTTTAGTCGCCTATAAGTCAAGCATAGGTTCCTGGTGACCAATTCTAACTGGGAAATGCTGACTGGTTAATCATAAAGTCATCTCATAAAGAGAAAAAAAAAGTAGGATGTTAGTGAGTGAATGAGCTTCATCCAACTGTATGGAGTTATAATCAGAGTTGAGAATTATCATAATATATATGAAGTTAATGCCGAGGATGAGCATAAACTTTTCCTACTTAATTACTAATGTAGCTCCCAGCAACTTTCACGGTCTTTATTCAAATTAAGTCAAAATAATACATATCTCAAAATTATCCTACTATCCTTAATCACTGATGCCTGACACAGTCCAACAGGATCTCAGCCAGTGCTGGCAGGAATTCATTGGAGGTCAGGTGAGGTGATTTATAGTGCTAGCCCACTGAGATACCATGCCGCAGTTTAACATGAATACCCCACTCAGACACAGTATACTGACTCCGAGCTGACCAGTCCTTGTTTTAGCCCCTTAATGCCAAGCGCCAGACAGGGTAACAACAAGTACCATCTCTTTAACATCTTTTGATATGACGTGGCCAGGGATCAAACCCCGGACCTGGAATTCATTGGATAACGAGTGTCATGCAAGAGACTATCATGACAACTAATGTCACTGTTCAATTTGTTTTTGTTTACTTTTTACTTCAAATCAAAGTGTGTTTTCCTAGTTTCAGTCAGGCACATTTTCCTTAACCTGTCTTAAAAAATGGCCATCATATTATTCAAACAACATGCGGTTGGAATTTGGCGTTAAACGGTGAATTCATACAATATCCCTACTCCACTGGTGACTGGTCGTTGTGTAAGTATCTCCGGACTAGTGATGAAGCAGACTGTTGATTGCAATCAAAAATGTCCTAACGATATCCAACACTTTTGGTCATGGTGTAGAAGAAATATAATCAAAATATGACAAAATTAGGAAATTATGTCCTAATTGTGAGATGGAATGGGGTTTAACGTCGCGTCCAAGATTATTGCACTTATATAGAGATGCACGTGTGTGTGAGTGTGTGTGCGTGTGCGTGTGTGCGCTTGTACTAGTCCTGACTGATGCCGATTTATAGTGCTAGCTCACTGAGATACCATGCCGCAGTTTAACATGAATACCCCACTCAGACACAGTATACTGACTCCGAGCCGACCAGTCCTTGTTTTAGCCCCTAAATGCCGAGCGCCAGACAGGGTTACAAGTACATCTAAACATCTTTTGGTATGATTTGGCCGGGGATCAAACCCAAGACCTTCTGCTCTCCGGAGGACACTCTACCACTAGACCACGGAGGCGGTCCTATGTCAAAATGATAGTTGTCTAGCAAAGTCACTACTTTGAAGACAAATGCAGAATACTGGGCCTCTTCCATAGGCTCCCTTCTACCCATTTATATTTTTATTCATTAAGAAGCCAGTGAACTGACTGAATGTGTCAAGGATAGCACTAAGATAGCTTCGAGGAATGGGGCCCTGGGCTGTTTGTTGTTGTTTGTTGTTTTACGCCGCACTCAGCAATATTCCAGCTAAATGCCGGCGGTCTGTAAATAATCGAGTCTGGACCAGACAATCCAGTGATTGACATAATGAGCATCGATCCACGCATTTGGGATACCATGACATGCATCAACCAAGTCAGCGAGCCTGACCACCCGATCCCGTTAGTCGCCTTTTACGACAAGCATAGTCGTCTTTTAAGGCAAGGCAGTGGTCTGGAAACAGGCACAAGACCATGGAGTCCCCCTTCAAGTTTTACAATAGTGGTTTGGTCAGTCCAAAATGAGCACTGAAACCTTAAGGTACAAGTTGGCACGAACACAGCTGCTCAACCAATAGCATCGGAGAACAGAGGGGGGTCAAGGGTCAGCTGGCAACATTCCTTACTGTATTTGGTCTTGGTGAGTTGGGAGCAGATTTCTGGACATTCTGTGGTGAAGAGATGCGGGCTGATGAGGTTGGGGCAGCATTCCAGCTTGATGCAGATCTGTCGACAGAACTCCTCCAGCTGCGACGTGCTCTTGCAGATCTCCACCGTCGCCCGGTAGCTCTTCCCCTTGTACCTGCACATCATGAACTTATACAGAAACCAGGGGAGATAACCAGTGTCTGACACATATCTACAAGCCACTAAAGATTAACTGGGTAATGCAGATTTATGTTGCATATAAGCAAATGTGTAACTTATCTTTATTGCCATGTAAAGTGATGTTATATTTACATGTTGTTCATCACTGGTCTTGTCCATTGTCCATGGCCTGTGCTTTCCGTTCAATCACGTCAAAATACAGTGTAAAAAAATTAGAATAATTCAGTTCAGTGGATGTAATACAACAGTATAATTTCCATGTGTGTCCTCATTTTAACCACTCAATTACAATTCTAACCATGTCATTGGCACCTAAATACAAGGAATTTCAAACACTTGGCATCGTCAAAAATGAAAAAAGAAGAGTTTAAGGCTTAAAAAAATAAAAGATTTGGTTCTAAGGCAATGACTTTTGAAAATATAGTGCGGGCATGCGGTGGTTTGTGTTTTTTGGCTTGTTCGAACTAGTATGTAACTAAATAAACAGTTGTGTACAATCAACATGGGAAAGCACACAAGCTCCTATTGCAACCATGACCATGAGATTAGCAGTGAGTGAGTGAGTATGGTTTTACGTCGTTTTTAGCAATATTCCAGCAATATCACGGCGGCGGACACCAGAAATGGGCTTCACACATTGTACTCATGTCGGGAATCGAACCCAGGTCTTCGGCGTGACGAACGAACGCTTTAACCACTAGGTTACCCGACCGCCCCTGAGATTAGCAGTAGAGCAGTGTGTGTGTAAAGGGAAGTAACTGCGTGCTATATAGGATCACATTGTTTTTAGGTATAAGGAGTTTTTTTTATATTTTCTTGAAAATGGAAATAAAAACGAAACGAGCAGTGGATGTTATGATGATGCGGGCAGTGCCTGAGCACCAAGACTGTTATTTCTTTTTAGCCTAATAAAGGGTTCCTGCTATATGATTTGGCTGGTTGGTTTATTTATTGTTTAATGCCACACTCAGCAATATTCCAACTATATGACGGCGGTCTGCAAATAATCGAGTCTGGACCAGACAATCCAGTGATTGACATCATGAGCATCGATCTACGCAATTGGGATCAATGACATGCTTCAACGAAGTCAGCAAGTCTGAACATCCGACCCCGTTAGTCGCCTCTTACGACAAGCATAGTTGCCTCTTACGGTAAGCATGGGTTGCGGAAGACCTATTCTACCCCGGATCTTCACAGGTTTTGAAAAACAGTTAAAACATCCATCATGATAACTCACTTGGCCTTCAACACTTGCTGATGCATGTTGGGATTTGGCGAGCCCTCCATCTGAATCTCGCGCAGCACCCTACAGGACTTGTAGGCCACGTTGATGAGCATGGACAGCACCTCCTTCATGACCAGATTGATGGGGCCGGGACCCACACACTTGGGCAACTCCGAGATGCGTCCCTTGCTCAGATAGGGGCCAGAGAAGCAGCGATGATTGAAGTAGATCTTCGGGCACCAGCCACTGCCTACAGGGGGGCAAGATGGAAGTCATTTATCAAAGGAAAGTCGGATCAATTGTCAGTCCAGGTTGGATTCAAGTCATCAAACTTCACTTTGTTCTCTCACATGTATGATGTGAGTGAGTGAGTGAGTGAGTGAGTGAGTTGGGTTTAACGCAGCTTTTAACAATATTCCAGTTATATCGCGGCGTGTCAGCTTAATGTGGGAGGAAAGCCCAAAGTGATGCAGGTCTCAGACGTTTACCACTTCGGTGAAACCCACGAGCATGGGTATGGTGCTGACAAACCTAGAAACATAATCGGGGCGAACCGGGATTCGAACCCACAATCATAGGTTTCTTGCGTGCCCAAGGGACACAACTCTGCACAGCGAATCGCGGCACCTTAGACGACTGGGCCACCCCTGCCTCCATGTATGATATGAACAGGGCTTGTTCAGAGCCTGATGTTCAGCCCCCAAGACTGCAGAAAATGTCAGTAAATTTGAGTTACAAATTTCCCAATTCATGTTTATAGTGAGTGAGTGAGTATGGTTTTACGCCGCTTTTAGCAATATTCCAGCAATATCAAGGCGAGGGACACCAGAAATGGGCTTCACACATTGTACCCATGTCGAGAATCGAACCCAGGTCTTCGGCGTGACAAGCGAATGCTTTAACCACTAGGCTACCCAATCACCCCAATTCATGTTATATATTAATAACGAATGTTATGGGTTTGAAGAAGTGTCTTAATTCACTGACCATTTTGAGCAATATAATACCTTTTTCAAAATTGCATGCTAAGAGCAAGAATGAATCCCTGGTATATAAATATCAATCTAAAAAACATATACATGACGTTTCACATATTGAACTAATTACACCATCTAGACCCGAGAACTGTGCCACCAAGCGATCTTAGTGCTGCTTCCAAGTCTATGTTGGGTAATGACAATCGTGCCGCTAAGATAGCTTCAAGGAAGGGGCATTGGAGTCCATCTTTCAAAATCTCAAGGCAAGTGAGTTAACTGACTATGAAAGTCCAGTTTCCACCCTTGCCGAACTAGGCTGGTATTATGGAGTTACAATTTGGTTCGTAAACTGTTGTGCAGATTTCGGTCGATTGCAGGATTTGCAAAGCATGTGCACCGCCAACTCGTTGTCAACAGATATTTTCAAAATCTTTTTATGTTTTTAATCAAGGTGCTCACCTGATTTGATGCATTTCGCGATGTAAGACCCGTTTTATCACAAAATAGATCTTGATTATCGAGCAGATCGTCCTGACTTTTGTTTGAAGCAAATACAAGTGATACGAGGGTAGGAATCTGATTGGTCCATAGGAGAGGCTTAGAAGGGATATAACTGGTAATAGCCACTGGTGGCACTAAGATTGAGCCCAGGAATTCCAGCCTAGTTCGGCAAGGGTGGAGCCTGGACTTTTAAAATTAGTTAACTCTCTTGCCTCGGAGAGATGTCTTTCAATAGCGTGTATGGTTTGGTCGGTCCACCACCCATTTCAAATGTCAGGAACGTCTGTCTCATTCGGACTGCTAACCTTTTTGAGGTTGCATGATTAGAGAACACATTCAGACTTTCACTCTCCAGATCTCTTAAACACAACATGAAACCCCATTTGTATACTCCCCAGGGAGCTGAGAATGATTGTTGAGTGCACACTAATCCATTGACTGGGGTAATAATGTCTAAGCACTCAGAGCATGCCCTCCTTCGTTGGGCAGCTTCTGCAAATGATAATGCCCTGAAAAATAGAGTTACCCTTATAATACTATCACAGCATTCCAGCAGATCCCAATGGATCCCAATGGATCCAAGACCTACCTCCAGACTCCCCATTCTTCACCTGGGAGTAGGACTCACTCTTGTTCTCTTCATTCCATGGTCCCTCGGCAATTCTGAAAGTATGTACGTACCAATAAAAGTAAAACTGCATAAAGAGAGAATAGGTCGGCCATAAGTCTGTAAGTGTGTGTAAGTGTGTGTAAGTGTGTGTGTGTCCACACTTTCAGTTTGTTTGTTTGTTGTTTAACGCCGCACTCAGCAATATTACAGCTACATGACAGTGATCTGTAAATAACTTGTCTGGACCAGACAATCCAGTGACTGATATCATGAGCATCGATTCACACAATTGGAATACGATGACATGCATCAACCAAGTCAGCGAGCCTGACCCCCTGATCCTGTTAGTCGCCTCTTATGACAAGAATAGTTACCTTTTACGACAAGAATGGGTTGCTGAAGACCTATTCTAACCAAGATCTTCACAGGTCTGCTGCTTTCAACGTCATTTCATTACATCACAGCATGTCAGCTTTATTTGAGAGGAAAAGCAGACGTGATTCAGACTTTTACCACTTTCATGAAACTGCTTTCAATGTGATTTCATTACATCACAGCATGACAGCTTTATTTGAGAGGAAAAGCAGACGTGATTCAGACTTTTACCACTTTCATGAAACCCACAAGCACTGGCATTGTGCTAACAAACCTAAAAACATAATCAGGTCGAATCTGGGATTCAAACCCACAATCATACGCTCCTGACACATCTAAGGGACACAACTCTGATTGTGTCACCTTGAGTAACACACTCTAGTAACACTATCATGGTCAACATCAAACTTACTCCGGCTGAACGACGGCAACTCGTTTCTGTATCGGTCGCTTCAAGCCGAGTTTCCGTGGGGGTTTCAGCTGGTAGCCATTGCTTTCACACCAACCAACAGGGAACAGGTTCTGGGACTCAATACTCTCAATGTGACTGGCAACAATCTTCATACTGATGTCCAGGTGGATCCACATCAGGCCATCTACGATCTTCGTGATGGTGGCTGCGCAGATCTGATTCTGATTGTCGGGGTTTACAGCTTCTAGCTTCATGCCCTTCTCAAACTCATGCACTGGGGGAGTCTGGAAAATGATTTCAAACATTTTATCACCACAGGGAAGGTTGGCCGAAGCAATGGCTGTTTGGGCTTTGACAAGCCAAGGGGTAATTGATACATTAATCAAATTGCCAAAATTGGTCCTGGACCATCCTACCGACAGTCCCTCCTTAACGTTGCCGAATATTTAATAAGTTCAGAATTCTGTACTGGGATTTGAAGTATTCAGCCCTTACAACAGAGGACTGGGATTGGAAGTATTCAGCCCTTACAACAACAGAGTGCTTGGATTTGAAGTATTCAGCCCTTACAACAACAGAGTACTGGTTTGAAGGATTCAGCCCTTACAAAAACAGAGTGCTGGGATTTGAAGGATTCAGCCCTTACAACAACAGAGTGCTGGGATTTGAAGGAATCAGCCCTTACAACAACAAAGTGCTGGGATTTGAAGGATTCAGCCCTTACAACAACAGAGTGCTGGGATTTGAAGTATTCAGCCCTTACAAGCCGATACTGAGCAGATTTTAGAGACATCATAGCAGGAATAATTCATACAAAGTTTCAGCCCTATAGGCCTTGTAGTTTCAGAGTCAAAATCGTAAATAATGCACTAATGGTAGAAAACACGGGGGTACATAAAAGACAGACGTCCAACAGGAAGAAAATTGAAAACATGCTAAGTTAAGGACATTTAAACCCTACCAATTGTTCCTCTCCACAACTTACCAGATCAAACATTGCATCAGGGGCTGACTGAGCATTACAGTAGGCCAGGTATTCTGACCAGCTGAAATCAGGCTTGGACCAGCCTGAAATACAGAAATAGCGTAAATATGTGAGAATGTGGAAAATATGTGATAAATGTATATAGAATCATATTTGAATGAATTTGTTACTAAAAGTCAAAATGTGGATCCTCCCTGATATCATATTCTAATTTAACAAGAGTCTTCAGGAGATGACATATCCCCCCAGTCTGGTGCAATTCAGAAATGGAGTTTGGCTTCTTAAACCCTACTTCTGGTTCATTGCCATTGGATACCTTTATTTTGATGATCAGTGATGAAGGAAAGAATAATCAGGTTCAGTATTAGCCAATATTGGCAATCATCAAACAGCCCCAATTCACCACTAGACTGATCAGTAGGGCAGGTTCATCTCGAAATATATTCAATGGTTTTGGAGTTGTGCTTCCGAAACAAGCACTTCCCTCATTTTTAGCATAATTCCAACTTAAAAAAAATATAAATCCCCAATTAGGAAAAAGCACCAGTTCCCCACTAGGGTGTTTCAACAAGAAATATTCAATGGTCTAGGAGTTCTGATCAGCAAACGGCAACACATGGAGGGCCGACGGACAGACATGCTGATCGCAGTTTCCTTGTTTTGAATAACAGTAGGATAAAAAAAAAATATGGATTAATTTGCATCCTTAGGCCACAAAGAATTAATCATTAGCTTTCAATCCATTTGTTTAAAATGCAAAGCAGGAGGGACTTTATTTTATATATATATTTTTTTTTTAATTAAACAAACTGTTCATGGAATCTATATACATCAACCATGTTCAGTAGTGATGTGTGCATGCGTGTGTGGTGTGTGTGTGTATGTGTGTGGTGTGGTGTGGTGTGCATGTGGTGTGGTGTGGTGTGGTGTGGTGTGGCGTGGTGTGGCGTGGTGTGGCGTGGTGTGGTGTGCATGCATGCGTGGTGTGCATGTGTGTGGGGTGGCGTGGTGTGCATGTGTTTAGGCGTGGCGTGGGTGTGGTGTGGTGTGTGTGCATGCGAGTGGTGTGCATGTGAGAGAGAGAGAGAGTGTGTGTGTGTGTGTGTGTGGTGTGCATGTGGTGTGCGCATGTGGTGTGCATGTGTGTGTGTGTGTGTGTGTGTGTGTGTGTGGTGTGTGTGTGGTGTGTCAGTGCATGTGTGTGTGTGTGTGAGAGAGAGAGATATTATACTAGTCCACACTCATTCCGATTACATAGCGCTAGCCCACCGAGATACCATCCCGCAGTTCAACATAGATTCCTTACACAGTCATAGTTCTTGTGGTAACACCATAATGCCAAGCTTCAGTGATGTGTAGTGATGTGGATAAAAATAATGTGGACTTCCACAACTAGACAACCAACCTGCAGGGTGCGTGAGACGGAGCCCTTTGCACTGGCACCAGTGGATGGGGAAGATGTTTGGGCTGTTGGCATGACAACTGAACTGTACACGTTTACTGGAATGCCTCTCCAAGGAGTCTATCTCCACCAGGAAGTACCGGCTGTTGAAGATTTGGATGATAGTAGCAGGACAGATCTGGTTGCGGCTCAGTGGATTCAACCCCTCGATCTTCCAGCCTTTTTGGAATTTGTGGGTGGGGATTTCCGGCTGATCCTAGTGACAGAGGGAAGGTGTCGTGACTTTGAATGCACAAGTTACATATTCGTCCTCAAGTCCGTAGCAAACGTCAGTAAACAATTCCTCAGAATTAGCAGTAACATTAAAAACACCCAATTTTGAACAATATTTTCCCAAGTTGCCTGCCGAGGTACTGAGTTTGGAATCCCAGATAAATCCCTAAGTTTGTATTTGACAGAATTTAAAAGAAATTACTCTGATTTTTACATTTATTTTCCATATTTCACTGTTTTAGGACAGATCGATAATTATTTGAATAGATTTGTATTATTTATTTCAAAAAAATTATTTTTTCTTTTATTTATCAACTCGGTGACATTTGTAATTGTCCTCACCTTGAATATGTCTGCAGGCAGTATCTGGTCCTGTGTCATCTTCAGGCCTTCTTCCAGAATCTCGTTAATCTCAGCCTCGGAGCATTTCATGAAGGACTTTTCTACTTCTGAAACAAACATGTTCATTTCACATCAATATACAATATCAGTACATTGGACCAACTTGTTATTAATATATGACACGAGACATCATCTAACTGTTTTCATCCATACCTAATATTTACATCAGACTATTCCCCGGCAAGTACTTTAAAGTAAATCATGACTTACAATCCCCCTGTTGAGGTACAACAATCGTAGATTCTACAACTAGTTTGTATATTGCATATATCTTGCATACTGCAATGTTATAGTCTGTAACAATTATGAACACTTATCTTGCAAAGTAAAAAGTCTGCAACAATTATTTTGCAATGTGACAGTCTGCAACAATTATCTTGCAATGTGAAAGTCTGCAAAAATTATCTTGCAAAGTGAAAGTCTTCAACAATAATCTTGCAATGTAACAGTCTGCAACAATTATCACCAATAATCATGCAAAGTAAATCTGTAATAATTATCTTGCAACGTAACAGTCTGCAACAATTATCTTGCACTGTAACAGTCTGCAACAATTATCTTGCAATGTGAAAATCTTCAACAATGAACAACACTAATCGTGCAAAGTAAGTCTGCATCAATTATCTTGCAATGTAACAGTCTGCAACAATAATCTTGCAATGTAACAGTCTGCAACAATTATCTAGCAATGGAACAGCCTGCAACAATTATCTTGGCATGTAACAGTCTGCAACAATTATCAACAATAATCTTGCAAAGTAAGTCTGTAACAATTATCTTGCAATGTAATAGCCTGCAAAATAATCAATTACTATCTTGCAATATAATTCTGTAACAATTATCTTCCAAAGTAAAATTTGCAACAATTATCAACAATTATCTTGCATTGTAATAGTCAGCAACAAATATCTTGCAATGTGAAAGTCTTCAACAATTACATGTGTCAACATTTATCTTGCAAAGTAAAACTCTGAATAAAGATATACTGTGAGATCTGTAACAGTAACAGAGGCCAGTTTCTCTACCTTTGGGAGGCTTGTATGTGTACTTCATCTCCTTGGCCCAGCCAATGGGATGGAGGCTCTCATTCAGGTAGAACATCCAGAAGTCATGTGTGCCTGACTCCACGCCTTCATAGCGCAGGTAGAGCCTGCCTCCAACGTTCTCGATGATCTGTACGACCCACACGTTCGTGGGCTTGCAGACGTCCTGGATCTCTAGTCTCATGCACTGTTTCAGCTGATCTACAGGTGTCGTGCCCGTCATCTACAAGGGGACAAACAGTTCAAGCACAAAATATTCCCTTCACCATAACCCCTAAATATTTCGTTATTGTTTACTTCTGGATTCTGGCATAAGAGTGAGTGAGTTGGGTTTTTACACCGCTTTTAACAGTATTCCAGTTATATCACGGCATGTCAGCTTAATGAGGTAAGAAAGCCCAAAGTGATGCAGGTCTCAGACGTTTACCACTTTGGTGAAACCCAGAAGCATGGGTATGATGCTGACAAACCTAGAAACATAATTGGGGCGAACCAGGATTCGAACCCACAATCATAGGTTTCTGGCGTGCCCAAGGGACGCTACTCTGCACAGCGAATCGCGGCGCTTTAGACGACTTGGCCACCCATGCCCCCGCTGGCATGAGAAGGCACAACACTGCACTGCAGAACACTGATTATGTCCCTCATGTCCCTTTCAAACCAGAGGTGAGCTGAAAGGGGGTTTAACATCGCACTCCATATTATCACACTTATAATATAAAGCAACATGCACGCACATGTGTGTAGCTGCTTGTACTGAAATGGGGTTTAACATCACATTCAAGATTATTGCAATATAGCAACGTGCATGCTTGTGTATCTGCTTGTACTAATGCCAGGCACCAGGCAGGATAACAACAAGTATCTGGTATGACACGGCTGGGGATCGAACCACCAACCTTCCGCTCTCCGTGCTGACACCCTATCCCTCACACCACAGTGGCCGTCTTTACAAGCCAGACCTCAGGCTAGCATGTCAAGTGCTGTACAACTGTCATGGAGTTTCCCACACACAGCAATGTTCCTTACCTTATCCAGGAGGTATGGAGGGGCCGTCCTGGCCCCCGTTAGAGATGCTACTACAAACTCCTTCCAGTCGCTGAATTTGTCTTTAATGGCTGAAGACAAAATTGAAGGAAACATCTTTTCAGAGCAGTCTGTGACAAAAACATTTCTAGATTTCCGTATTTGACGTAATAAGCACCCAGCTCTAATAAGCACCCACGGTATTATTTGCTAATATATTGGCTAGTGAACAATCCCAGTTAGCACCCTTTCCGATTGATCAATGTACACAAGACTTATTTATTTGTGCATAATACGCACTCGTTTGTATTTGCACCCTTAATTATGGGCAATTAAATTCTGGAAAATATATCTATCGTGTATAAAACACACAGATTCTTCTTTTATATCATTTCAGGCTGTCAGCATAAACCACAAAATTTACAATCTTTCAACCTCGTTTTTAATCTCACCAAAATTATATTCTGATAAGAGCCCCCTATTTCTAATTTTGAGAGCGCCCTAGGCGCTTATTACGCCGAATATAGTAAACTTGACATCAATTTCAGGTGCTGGAAGATCATTACTATATGAATTATTGTTAGTTGAGTTCTCTTGTTTGTTTGTTTGTTTATTTGTTGTTTAACACCGCACTCAGCAATCTTCCAGCTGTATGACAGTGGTCCGTAAAGAGTTCTCTTGACAGCACAGAATATTCAAAGACTTAAGCTAGAGACTATAGTGGCTTGAACTGCAGACTCAAACAGGTTGTGTTTGTTTGTTTGTTTGTTTGTTGTTTAACGCCGCACTCAGCAATATTCCAGCTATATGACGGTGGTCTGTAAATAATCGTCTGCACCAGACGATCCAGTGATTGACATCATCAGCATCAATCCACCCAATTGGGATACGATGACATGCATCAAGTCAGCGACATAGTTGGATACTCTAAAACAATTTATCATCATCATCATTTTTATTATCATTTAGGATATTTATTTACCACTAATCAACATACCATCAGGAGGCTGAAGAGTGCGGCCATTACTCGAACACCATCCCACTGGATGGATCTCGGAGGTCATAAGGTCAGCCCAGAAGTCAGCAGACCCATCCTCTTCATAACCATCATAACGTAACCGTAGCAACTGACCACATGACATGATGACTGATGCCACCCAGTATGTGTTAGGTGATGACTTGTTTGGGACTTCTAGCTTCATGCCCTTCACAAAACCACTCTGTAGACTGCACTCCACCTAGAAGCAGACATGAAGAGTTCCAGACGTCAGCTCACAAGAGGGTAACCATGGTAACAATCCGCTGAATGTTTAATCCATGTCAAGTGTCATGTCGTGTCGTGTCGATGTGTGATTCACACAATTGCCTCTTACGACCAGCTTTGGTTGATGGGGACCAATAATATTGTTTGTTTAACGCCGAAATCAGCATTATTCCAGCTATATGACGGCGGTCTGTAAATAATCAAGTCTGGACCAGACAATCCAGTGATTGATATCATGAGCATCGATCCACACAATTGGGATCGATGACATGCATCAACCAAGTCAGCGAGCCTGACCGCCCGATCCCGTTAGTCGCGTCTTACGATAAGCAGAGTCGCCTTTTACAGCAAGTATGGGACCAATAATAACCTGGAATTTCCAAGGTCATGGCGCATAGAGTTGTTGAGGAGGTCTCAGGTGGTACTATATACACCCTACCCCAACATTATCAGACACATCTGCCCCACCCCTACTTACATGGGTGAAGGCTGTGGGGGGTACACTGGTCGAGCCGGTCTCTAGTAGATATTCTTCCCAGTTGAACTCGGACTGGTCATATTCAACCGGAATACCATCTACAATATCAAATCATCAAGTCTCAATACAACCAAGGAAGTGAAGACAAAATGACATCCATATACAGGTATGGACAGGATGAATGAAATCTGTCTAGTCCATTATTCTTATCAGACTTTTCTAGGTAATATTTCTGCACTTTCCCATTAATTAGTCTCTCCTCAAAATCCTCATCCTCAGTGACTTTGTCCAACACTGCTGTGATTTCACAGGATAGTTTTTACATAATTTCCAAATTAAATGATTAACAAAATGGAAACAATTACTGCATATCTTGAAATAAACGCGATCGTGAATTTAATCCAAAAAATGTGAGTGGTCTATGCTCGCCTTAAATAACCTTGTATTTATGTCTCCAAATGACTATCAACAATAGACGTCCCCACTGCACACTTTAGACAGCGGAAAGACAAAAACGGTTTATTGAGCAGCAGTTGTAACAAGTGTTTCCTGTCACAGAGCTCCAGATAAGCTTTGGTGCCGTGGGTATTTTACCCATGCATTTTAAAATCATTGGGTATAAGTAATTCTATCTGGGTATTCAAATTTCTGTTACCCAGAAGTTTTTACACATGTGGGTATTTAAGTTAAATATTTAAAAACACTATTCATCTAGTTCCTGCAAACTGGTGTCGTGTGGGTTCGAGAGCTTTATAGGACTCAAAAATACCACGATACTTCCACAAGAAAGTGTGTTGGCAAATGATTATGATGTAACTGTCATCGTGGAGTTTGGCAAGGTTGATGGAATGCCCGTTTATAATTTCAAAATAAGTTGCTGATTTGCTAATCGAATACGCAGGGTTACTTCACAATATTTTGATGATACGCACAAGTTTTATTTTTGTAGCTTATCTGTAATGTTCGTTGCATATTTGATACGCTTGGATTTTATTTTACTGCGTATTTCTTCATTTCTGATGCGTATTTTACGCAGATAAGCAGCTTATCTAGAGCTCTGTGTCATATTATGTCAAATTTATTACCGGTATTTTTTCGCCATGACTCTCTGAAATTCAGTTGTCAACAAAAAGCATACATTTCTTATTCCAGTGATGCTAAGCATTTGAGGGAAAATGGGTAACAACAACTCACCTTCGTTGTAATCAGCCGTATCGATCATACAGAATCGAGATTTGTCATCAAGGTCATCCAAAGATTCAACCTTTGGATCCACAAGTTCTGTATTGTCCTCCATTGCTGGGTAGGGTGACTCTGCCTTTACTTCCTCCAAGGGCTTCTGTTCTGGAAGGGAGCTCTCTTCCTCCTCCTCTTCCTTCACACTGCTGGCATCAGGGGCAGCTTCCTCGGTCACGGAATTGGACTCCTCCTCCATCTTTTCAGAATCGGATGGAACAGGACTTGGTTTGGGACTTGCAACGTCTTCTACTGGTGCTGGAGAGTCTTCAGCGTTTGATTTGACATCCTCTTTGGTCGAATTGGAGTTCTCACTATCAGGCATTTCAATATCATTCTGTATGCCTCCATCATCCATGGAGGTTATGTTTAAGATAGATTCCACGTCTGCCAAGTCACCCATTTCCTGTTTGGGAGTTTCATTACTAAAATTGCTTTCGGATTCATTACCCGACTCGGCTATGTTCTCAAAAATCAGTTCTTTCGGAAGCAATGCTGGCGCTGTGATGGAGTTCAGGGAAAATGTGTTGGGCGAGGCAGCAAGTGGGGTGACACTGCCATTTTGAGGCGCTCCCATGAACGGGTTGGCCATGACTGGCTGCTGCTGAGCACTCATTATGATTGGCTGAAGTTGACTGAAGGCACCAGACAGGAACTGACCTTGACCTCCATTAGGAACAGCCAAAATTGTCTGGCTGATCGGAATCCCAAGACTTTGTGCAACAGTCGTGCAAATTTGTCCGACGGATATTGGTTGAACGAATGGATGTCCAACAGCACCAGTATTCACATTCATTGGAAAACCGAGGGTGACATTTAGCGGCGATGGTGTCCCTGGCGGAGCCTGCTGACTGGATGAGAAAGCTGACGACAAGGACGTCTGGGGAAAACAGAAGCTCTGGGGGATGGTGACGGCCCCAAGGGACTGGGCACTCAAGAGACCCTCGGGTGTGATGGGACTTGTGATGGCCGCCATTGATGTGGCTAGCTTCATCCCTTCTACAGCATCTGCTCCGGACACAGGCAAGTCTGTCATGGAATCATAAGAAATCATCAAAAAGAAACTCTAAAAAATATTTTAAAAAAACAAAAACAAATTACAACGATAATGTTTTCAGTTGACAAAACCATTTTCGAACACCATTCATGCAACCTTCAACAGGTATCCTCAAATCTTCTTACAGCAAGGCAACGCATCAGATCAAGATCTGATTTTAATGAGACTGATATAAAACCCAATCTATTCAAATTTGAAATTATACATTTTTGCCATCCTGAAAATGACTGAAATACACTAATATGTGGACCTGATAAAATTAATCATAATTAATCATATATTAATAAAAGAACTCATTCTCTACCAAAATCCTGACTTACAAGAACCTGCATCTTTTTAGTACATATTATCTTAGATATGGCAGATGAAACAATTTATATATCAGGTAAAAGAAACTAAAAAACAAATTCCATTTGCATAAGATATCAATTCAGAATACAACAGCAGAATTCAATTTTCAATTTCAGTCTTCACAAATATGTTGCGCCTTCTGCTTACTGGGTTTATTGATTTTATCCCTCAGAAAATCTCAGCATGAAAACATGAATGCTGTACAATCTGTACACAATATTCCTGTATACAATAATTATGATGAAACTGATTTTCCAAAGATTAAACATGAGTAGGAAAAAAACATAACTCTACACTCAGAGCAATTATCTATTCTTGTTTTTTTGTTTGCTGTTTATCGCCGCACTCAGCAATATGCCAGGCATGCGACGGCAGTCACCAAACAACTCAGACAATCAAGTGACTGGCATCATCAATTTACACAATTGGGATACGATGACATGCATCAACCAAGTCAGCGAGCCTGACCACCCGATCCTGGTAGTCGCCTCTTACAAGATGGTTCGACTCAATAAATTTTTCCGTTTAACAGTTTAACGCTAGTAATGTACTTGAAAGATCATTATGTGAAAGCAGAGACTGTAGTTATTACAATCCAATCCAAATGCATCAGATATATCTCAAATGACAAGACATCAGAAAGGCCTTGAGACGGTTGCCATAGAAACATTCCAGTGAAAATCTAAAATGTCTAAGCACGGATCACATGACAATGTGGCTCTAGAAACTTAACTTTGAAAAAGGACATCATGAAAACTGAATCAGAACACCATATTTATAATACCTGAACGATAAATTATCTCTAAAGTCAACAAGAAGCAAAAAACAAATTTTTTTCTGATTAAGCAAGTTCATTGTGGTTCCGACCAAAACATAAAATGAAGGCTGCAGGTGAAACATTTAGCCCTTAGTCTGTCACATCCATAAACAAGGGAGGTGACTCTTACAAATAGACCACCTCATGATGTTGCATGGTAGTTTACAGCAAAAATTATGATTAATCGTTAAAAGGTTCCGCTGGATTGCTATTTTCAATTTATAATAATGAAATTTGCGTTGTTTTCATTGTAATTCCTGCATTCTGATCTGCTAAATTGGTCACATGTTATTGCATTCATTTCCGAATGAATGTAAAAAAGTAAGCCACGCCCACCGAGGCAGACTACTTTTATTACTACGGAATGTCGGAGAATCCCAATATTACAGTTGAGTTTCTGCTCACGTGAATTGTCCTGCACAGGACGTTTAGCGAAATTCATGCATATTCATTGGCCAAACTACCCTTTGACACCAAAAGCCGAGAAGGAATCAAACGGAAAACCTCCTCGCTCGCCTGCCTTTTTCCCTGGGTAACACAAATATCATGTCTTCGGGTTTTATTTCTAACCTGCATTTTTCGAAATTGTGTCTTCCCGTTCTCAGGGAACTAATGTTTGAATCTTGCAGGAACTGACCATGTTATTTGAAACAGCCGCTTTCTCCCGGACATATTTGTTCCGGTTCGTTACAGTCTGACTGTTGCAGTTCTTCTCGCCTCTTGGCTTGATTGACAGGTCCTAGAAACTTTGTTTTGATCCTACTCTTCGTTGATTGGTTCTGACTTTGTGGGCGTGTCAAGTTATGTACATAAATTAAACAATCACCTGATTCATGTCACGCCACATTATTTATTCCTAAACCTATAATGTTTATCAATCTCGTCATGTTTGTCTGCTTTGATATATACAACTGTTTTGGACTAAATATTGTAGATAACATGTTTTCGTTGTCATATTTAATTATAAGGACTGACTGTGTAGTTTTTTCGGTTTATTGAGGTATGAATCGAAAAACCGATGTGAAACTTTTGTAAGATTCATACAGTTTGCACATCGCTTTTTTGATTCACACCCCAATGAACCGAAAAAGATACACAGTCAATCCTGATTTAAAACACTGATCATGAGTGCTTTAAATTTTCAAATTTTATAATTCATCATCACTAAGAGTGTTCTGTAAAGTGGTGCCAGTCAAAAAGCTCATCAGTGACCCAAGACCAAGAGTTGTTGATTGGATGAATGCACTGTGAACAAGTATACAAACAAATTATCAAAATACAGTAAACTACATTTATAGCAAACACGTTTATAACAAACAGACCAATATAACAAAATTATTTCTTGGTTCCGGCCATTTGTTGTATATGTGCTGTATATATACTTATAACGAACTACGGTTATTACAAACTAAAATTAGTGGTCCCCTTGAGTTTGTTATAATCTCAGTTTACTGTAGGCACAATTAAAACAAAACCCATCAACAGGTTTTGAATAGTTTAATTTCCCACTGTTGGAAAAATCCCAATCCAAAATATCTCTGGTTTGATGTGTGATCCGATGGCCCAAAATCTGATGCCATTCACATAATATGACGAGTGAGTGAGTGAGTGAGTGAGTGAGTGAGTGAGTGAGTGAGTGAGTGAGTGAGTGAGTGAGTGAGTGAGTGAGTGAGTGAGTGAGTGAGTGAGTGAGTTCGGATTAACACCACTTTTAACAGTATTCCAGTTATATCACAGCGTGTCAGCTTAATGTGGGAGAAAAGCCCGAAGTGATGCAGGTCTCAGACATTTACCACTTCGGTGAAACCCACGAGCACGGGTATGGTGCTGACAAACCAAGAAACATAATTGGGAACCGGGATTCAAACCCACAATCATAGGTTTCTGGCATGCCCGAGGGACGCAACTCTGCACAGCAAATCACGGTGCCTTAGACGACTGGGCAACCCGTGCCCCCACATAATATGACTGAGATTAATGTTTGATGTGAAATCAATCCTTGGACATTGATACAACAAGCAATGTTACTGGGCAAATGTTAGATACACACACATCAAAGGCAATCTGCCCAATGTAACATGAATACTTTGGGGGATTCAAATTCTTACTAGTCAACAATTTCTCAAATGCTATCATTACTCATGCAAATCTTCAGAAAAAAAACAAATTGTTCTCCTTGAATGTTATCGGCAAACTAAATCCAATATTCCTGAAAGATTTTTTTTTTTTCTTTAAAAAAATTGTAGTTGAAAACTGAGTTTGTCTTGACATAATGGCTTTACCAGTAGTTTTCATTGACTTATGAACAAGAATTTGCAGCAGCTTGCATTCACCACAGATAATTATCTCCCAATGGGTTTGTTAAGATCGTAAAACTACTATTTCTTCATTATATATGGGGCGGTGTGATAGCCTTGTGGTTAAAGCTCTTGCTAATCATGCCAAAGACCCGGGTTTGATTCCACAGTGTCACAGAATATTGCAAAATATCAGTGTAAAACCATACTCACTTTTAACAAGATAGATTTTTTCAACAAAATACAATAGGATTGCTCACATATCTACCTTGAATCTATAAACATGTCAAAAAACAAATTGAGAATTAGAAATCTCACAGCACACCTAATCAATATAAAATACAAATTCAGGTTTTAACATAATATCCACTTAGCATGCTTACAGTTTCTCTTTCTCAAGCTAATGCTTATTTCGAACCTACATGACATTGTTGTTTGATGAATGAGAATGGAACGTTTTTTTCCTAATAACGCAGAAGGGTTGTTAAATCGTCTTTGTTTTAATTGCAATAGAGCTCAGGCTTACCATGTCCTTATCCATGGCTGAAGCTAGCTGAAACGAGATCTCTAGCAACATCAATTCTAGCAAGGTAGGGAGACTTCAAACGTTGAAATCACCCTCGTTAACTTGATTGGCAGAAGTATTGTGTTTTTTGCGACCATCTTAAACTACTAATTGTATTGTTTTATCATGTTATCAATGGAAAGCATTGTAATTTCAAATACATCAAAGGACAGTATAAATCATTTATACACAGAGTGGCAGAGCCCGTAGCTCACCTAAGGGATTTATCTACGATTCTAAACTACGTACCAATGGCAAACAAATTGGAAAAGAAAAAAATCATTATTTTGTTCAAAATTCTGATTTTTTAAAAAGGAATTATTTTCCTAAATTCTGAGGTATTTTACATAGTATTCCAATCTCATTAAAATCAGATCTTAGTTCTCGCTATCGTAAGAGAAAGATCTGAGGACATCCCATTACGGGTCACTTCAGACCAACCTTTCGCAAACTTTGACCGACCAATGGAATGACTGACAAGAAGTCGACATAAGCCAATCAGAAGACAGCTTTCCTGTGCTTTACGGCACTAATTTCAAATTGTCGACTACGCTTCAAAACATATTTTGACAAATTCTCGCTTACAAATTTGAAACCTAAACAAAAGAACATTCTGGAATGGCTAATCGATAGTCTAGATTGTATGGATTCAGTCGTTAAGCCAGTAACTATCGTTCGGAATACCCCGTGTAAAGGTTTTTGAGGTTGCATGATTAGAAATCACATTCCGACTGTCACTTTCATGATCTGGTATGCGACGCTCTGATTGGTTGGGTGAAAGATCGTTCTGACCTGACCCATAATGGGATGTCCTCAGATCTTTGTTAAGCGGTAGCAAGAATGAAGATCTGTTTTTAATGAGATTGCATTGCATTCATTGCTATAATCTAAACATAAGCATAATTTCCATCTATTATTCTATTGACCCTGTCGTCAGTAATT